CGAGTCTGCGACTTTGGTTGCGCCGTTCCGGAAAACAATGGACATTTCTGGACATTAGAATTTTAGTACTTTTTGCGATTCGTAAAGAATCCCTGCTAACCTGCCCTGCCCTAAACAATCATAGCAAGCCTGCTTTTTCCCTAAGAAGCTTTGCAAGCCTTCCGTTTCCTAAAAAATCTCTGCTAGCCTGCCTTTTCCCAAATCATATAATTTAGATATTTGAAGATTTTTGACTCCCGCGCCTCTATTTTCAAAGTGAAATTCTTAAAATAAATTCTCAACCAATTGAGTGTGTTTTGAGGCTTTTTGTGCTTATTTTAGCGTGAACAACAGCAAAATTCCACGCTGCAAAACCCGGCTTTTGTCCCCTCCCGAACACTCCGGACGACGTCTTTTAACCCGGCAAAATAAACAAGCTGTTTGGAAAATGCGGGGTGCGAAGAGGTGCTTTTGCACTTTTCAAAGAAAGAATGCACTCCTCAATGGAATATATATATTTCCAGATTTTATGTGGTTGTTGACCATTTTCTGCCTTGAAATCCTTTCCGGACGGGAAAACGGCTTTTTTGTGACTTCTAAATGGTCTCTGCTAGCATGCCCTCTTCACCAATAGTCTCTGCTAGCCTGCCACAATTCAAAAAATCTCTTCTTTAAAGCTTTCCGCAAATGACCTCTGCTAGCCTTCGGTTTCAGCTCTTATCAATAGATCTCTGCTAGCCTGCCCTTCCAAGAAAGTGTATTTTGTGAAAGGGCTTAATAATATGCGATTATTGACGCTGCTGGAGAGCGAGAGCTAGAGAGAGAGAGGGAGAGAGAGTGAGAGAGAGAGCGTGCGAGAGAAACAAATCACGGCTAGCCTGCCCCACCCTTTCTGAAATGCGCTCTGCTAGCTGGCCCATTGCGGGAAGCCGTTCAGAGACGTCACGCGTAGCCGGAACGATTTTTATTTTATGACTTTTTGGTTTGACTAACCCCGTTGAACCCATTCGCCCACACAGACAGCCCAAAAACTGTGCAAAAAATTAATTCCGGGTCGATTCGGGGAGAAGCCCTGCTGACCGGGCTAGACGACATTTCCTGGCGAAATCGTACAGTACTCACGATTTGCGTTCTCGAGTAGTTTTGGAATAATATCTGCGAGCCTGCCCATTCCTAAAGAATCTCTGCTAGAATTCCATTTCCCCAAGAATCTCTGCTAACCTGCCCTTCCAAGAAAGTGTATTTTATGTGAAGAGAGAGAGAGAGAGAGAGAGAGATAGAGGGAGAGAGAGACAGACACAGAGAGAGACACAAACTTAGATTCCCTACACGACCGCAGCTAGCCTGCCCCACCCTTGCCCAAATGCGCTCTGCTAACTCCCCCAGTGCGGGAAGCCGTTCAGAGACGTCGCGCGTAGCCGGAACGATTTCTCGATGACTTTTTTGGTTTGACTAACCCCGTTGAACCCATTCGCCCACCCAGACGGCCCAAAAACTGTGCAAAAAATTAATTCCGGGTCGATTCGGGGAGAAGCCCTGCTGACCGGGCTAGACGACATTTCCTGGCGAAATCGTACAGTACTCACGATTTGCGTTTGCCGCTGGTTTTGGAAGGGTATCTGCTAGCCTGCCCATTCCTAAAAAATCTCTGCTAGCCTGCCCATTCCTAAAAAATCTCTGCTAGCTTGCTTCTTTTCATTCCTCAAAAATCTCTGCTAACCTGCCATTTCCTCAAGAAGCTCTGCTAGCCTGCCCTCCTAGCCAAAATTCGTACAATTCGGACGCTTCCCCCTGCTCGCGTGCCATTTCAAAAGCACTGCTCCCCATTTTTGCAGCTAATGGATCGCGAAGAAGCGACCGGGGAGGATAAATATATTTTCTTCCCATCTCTTCCGGAACAATCCGGTCATCCCAAACCACTTTTTCTCCCATTCCGGCGACACTTTGGCACCCGGCACCGACCAAAAAAAATATTGAAAGCGATTTTTGCAAAATTCTCGATATTTCTGGATTTTGCGAAGCGCTCAATTGGCTTTGGAAAATGATTATAAATAGCTTGTTTTTGTGGGTTTTTAGGGGGAATTCAGAGTTTTTGACACTTATTTTCAAGCTTTTAATAAAGGATTGAATAGATTTTTTTTGTTGATTTTGGAGGATTTTCTAAAATTCCAATTTACGTCAAAAGTCTTATAAATAGTTTTGTATTCCTAATCTTTCAGGGAGAATCCGCTTCGCCAAGTCGAGCGACTACGACTGGCTACAATCGACGGAACAGGAGTACCGTAAGGATTCGGATTTATTGTTTTTCTTACGAATTGGGGATTTTTGGGGTTTACGATTAGGAAAGTTTGTCAAGGGATCTTGGCTAGTTGACTCTCGTTTTCCGAAGTATCTCTGCTACTACACCCTCCTTTTCCTGAAAAATCTTTGCTGGTTCGCCCTCTTTTTCTTGTAGAATCTTTGCTAGCTCGCCCTCTTTTTCCTACCGAAGTTCCGCTAGTTTTCTCTCCATTTCCAGAATAATCTCTTCGTTTTTTTTCCTGAAGGATTTCTGCTAGTTAGCGCCGCCTTTTCCGGAAAGTCTCTGCTAGATTTCCGTCATTCTACTCAGGTTCCTCTTCTAAATCGCCTTTTCCTCTTCCCCAGAGACCACCGCTAGATTGTCCTATCTCGGTTGCTCAAGGATCTCTGCTAGATGGCCTTTTCTTTTTCCTCAAAGATCGCTGCTAGCTGGCCTTTCCTGAAGGAATCCTGCTAGCTTTTGACCTTACGCTAATTTTCAGGGACGGGCCAAGCCTGGAAAAATATTTTTCATTCCAAATAACCAGCTTCACCCGCACTTCTTAATATTTTTTGGGCTTTTGGCCCAGATGTGGCCCGGCAAAAAACGGGGGACGGCCAATCTCCGGGTGTCAGCCGAGCTTTTTGAGTGGGAACTCCCAATTGCCATCCTAGCAGCTAGCTCTCTTTGCATATATGCAAAAGAGGGAGGAGGAGAGCAGACACCCCCCAGCCCATCGGCCGATAAATAATCTTGCAAATCGCTCTCGCCTCCCCCCTTCCTCGGCTGCAAATCGTCCCCATTCGCTCTTTGCGGCCGTCTTGCAGAATCCGCGATCACCCCCTCCGGGCTGGCTGTCGATTTCTATTATGAAATCATCCTAATTTGCAAAACTGGAACTACGTCATTTGTGTAGTACTGTAACGCGGAATTCCGTGATTTCAATAGGGATTTTTTCCACTACGAACCGATTCCAAATTATGTTGCGGAATTACGTCAATTTTATGGCAGGGTAACTAACTTAAAATAGTGATGCTGGCTGTCGATTTTCGTTTTGAAACCATCCTAATTTGCATAACTGGAACTACGTCATTTGTATAGTACCGTAGCTTGTAGTCAGTAGTAGCGTATGAATAATTTTGTAGGCTGAGAATTTCCCGAATTAAATCGTTCCAAACGAATAAATTCCGAGTTTTACGCATACGTGATGCTGTAATTCAGGATTCCGCCTTTGGAAAGTAACGTAACCCAGTTTCCGACATCCATAAAGTGCCGTAGCATCATTTTTAAAGCGTCTAGTACTGTAATGGCAATTTTGTAAGTAGGCTGATACCGTAAGCTGATTTCCGTGATGAGTAAAGTTCCGTAACCGTACCGTACTTTTCGTACAATTTGTCTGGTACCCTAACGCTAAATTCTGTAAATAGGAAAGCGACGTAACCGTGGTTCAAACACCCAGGCCATGATTTTTAAGGGAACGTGCCAGTTGGCCTGTACCTAAAACGTACCCATAAGTCACGTTTTGTACATTGCATCACCTCCAGAAATGGTTTATGGCCGGGGGATTGTTTTTAGGAGCGTGTCGTAAAATTTTCCCGAATTCGTCGTCGTCAATATCCAAAAAAAGTGGTTTTCTTTTCTCAATACACGATTTTTTACGGATTTTCTTGTCCGTGTACCTTTAGTTTTCCGCTCTATCTCTCTCTCTCTCTCTCTCTCTCTCTCTCTCTCTCGCTCTGTATCACTGCATCTCTCTCCCTCTCTTACCTCTCCCACTATCTCTCTCTCTCTCTCGCTCTCTCTTTCTCTCTCTTTCCCCCTCTCTCCCACTCACCCTATCCTGATGATGATGATGCTGATATTGATATGTGCATCACCTGCAATTTGCATGTTCCCGCGAATGCCTCTTGCTCCTCTTTGGCCGGAGCAAGAGGTGGAGGAGGAACCCCCCGTTGTCTTGCTCCCTCCCAAGTCAAGGCCATCTTCGAATCTCAACAGTCTCACTGACACGCCGCGGACACTGAGCCAAGAAGATCCACGCTCCACCCCCACACACCCCCTCCTCCTGTTGCCCCGAGCCGATAGCCATCCTTATTTTTCAAATTTCCGCTTTTTAACTGCGGTAGTCCGCTCTGTAGTTTGGAAATTACACATTTTTAATACGGTATTTTTCATTTTTTTTAATTTTTAACAGCATAAAATTTTTAGAAAACCCGAAAAATTACCTTTGAGCTGAATTTAAACTGGGATTTTTGAAAAATTCCTGATTTTTATCTTCTGGTTACGAGCTGCCTGGGTTACTGTAGGAGTAAGCCTACTGTAATTTTTTGATATAATAATCTCAGAAAAGAACTTTATAACCTGAAAAAAAGCGAAAACCACTAAGAAAACCTTATAAAAAACCTTTTTTGGCTTCTTTTCGAATAAATTTTAGAACAAGAACCCGAGTAAGCAAAAAAATTAATATTCTAGCTTTTTTATTTCTGGCCGTTTCCGGGACAATACTCATTACGTTACGTCATGTTATTGCCAAAAACCAGTTTCTAGTTTTCCAGTCTGCAGAACCAATTTTCTCCGGGCCCTCCGCCCGTTTCTCATTTTCAATTTCGATTCGTCGAAAAAATTGGCAATGCGGATTTTGGTAGTCTGTAGTCTGTAGTCTGTATTCGATCACTCGCACTATTTTTTACACAGCACAAAATTTTAAAACATTTATTCAAATTCGACAATGATCCGATCACTTCTTCTCGGGCTCCTCCTTCTTCTCGTCCTCCTTCTTCTCGGGCTCCTCTTTCTTGTCCTCCTTCTTGTCCTCCTCCTTTTTCTCGTCCTCCTTCTTGTCCTCCTTCTTCTCGGGCTCCTCCTTCTTGTCGTCTTCCTTCTTTTCCTCTTTCTTGTCGTCCTCCTTCTTGTCGTCCTCCTTCTTCTCCTCTTTCTTCTCGTCTTTTTTCTCTTCCTTCTTTTCCTCCTTTTTCTCTTCCTTTTTCTCCTTCTTCGACTCTTTCTTCTCTTTCTTCGATTCCTTCTTGGATTCCTTCTTCTCTTTCTTTGAGGCTTCCTTCTTTTCTTTCTTCGATTCTTTCTTGTCCTTCTTCGAGCCGTCTTTCTAAAAATTGCAAAAATTATAATTTTTATTCCGCAAATTATCTTTGCTAGCATGCCCAGTCTCGCTCATTTCTCTTCCTAAAGAACCTCTGCTAGCTGCCCTAATGTCCTAAATGGTTTCTGCTAGCCTCCCTTCGATTCCCCAATGCTCTCTGCCTGACCACCTTGGGCGTGTCGGCGGCGGGGCTGGTGGCGGCGGGGGCGGCGGCTGCAGCGGGAGAGGCGCCCTCCTTGGGCGTGCCGGCTTTTCCTCCCTTGAGCTTCTTGGCGCGCTCAGCCTTCGCGGCCAGCTCTTGGGCCTTCTGCTCGGCGACGCGCGCGTCCCAGTCCTCGCGCTCCCAATCGTACGGGAATTCCTGGAAAGAGGTTTGTCTCTCTCTCTCTCTCTCTCTCTCTCTCTCTCTCTCCCTCCCTCCCTCCCTCCCTCCCTCTCCCTACCCACCTCACTCTTGGTGCTCTTCATCGCCTCGTCGAGCAGCTTGTAGATGCCCTGATAGTCTGGGGCGTCGAAGAACTTGCCCAACTCGAGCAGCGGGAAGATTTTGGTGAATTGTCGCGGGCACCCGCCGAACAGACATCGATACTTGGCCGCCTTGCAGTCCTTCTTGAACATGCCGACGTCGTTGACCTCGGTCAGGTTGCGCCACGGCAGACGGCCGACGGTCAACTCGACCAGCATGTACAGCCAGCTCTCAATGTCGTCCTTGCGGCACTGCTCACGCTGCACGTGGCAGGCCAGTGGCGCGTACTTCACCGTACCTTAAAGGGCTTTTGCTAGCTTTCCTTTTCCTAAAGAGTTTCTGCTAGTCTGCCATTTCCTAATGAATCTCTGCTCCGTACCCCTGAATCCAGCCTTGGCCCTCGGGTTGCGCAGCACGCCTTTCTCGTTGATGAACTTGCGCGCCATGCCAAAGTCCAACATGTAGACGGTGCGCAGCTCGCCCTCGTCCTTTCGGCCCACCGTGTAGTTGCCTGGCTTGATGTCCCTGGGACGTGGTTTGTAAACGAGCGAGAGAGAGAGAGAGAGAGAGATAGAGAGAGAGGGAGAGAGACCTGTGCAAAATGCCGACGTCGTGCAAATCCTCGACGGCCTCCAGGCACAGTCGCCCGATCGAAAGCGCGCAGCCCATCGAGAATTTGTGCTGCGGGGCGCACGCGCGGAGGTCCTGCAGCGAGGGGTTACGGTACTCGGGGGCCACGGTACCTGAATGCTCTTGCCGACGAGCGTCATCACCAGGTAGTTGAAGTTGTAGGCGTGGCCCTTGTCGGCCAGCTCGCAGAAGTGACGGGCCTATGGATTTTGGACTTCAAAGGACCGTTAGAATTCTTGCAAATGATTCCTGCAAGCTAGCTGACTTTCCTAAAGAATCCCTGCTAGCCTGCCCTCACCCGTTTCTTCGTATTCTTCAGCTCCTGCATCACGTACACCTCCATCTTGAGCATGCCAATTGGGTCGTTTTCGGCTTCCACCTGAACGTACATATCTCTCTCGCTCTCTCTCGCTCTCGCTCTCTCTCTCTCCCCCACCTTCAGCGCGTAGTGCTTCTTCCCGCCCTCCTTCATCACCTCGTAGACGGCCCCGAAGGCGCCCTCGCCCAATTTCTTCACGATCGTCCAATCTTCGATCTGAATTTCCATCATTTCCATAATTCCCGTAAATACCGTACCTTCTGACCGTTTTTCAGCTGCACAAGTTCACCCATAAGAACGGGAATGTAATACTAGATATTTAGGAAAATTGGACCAGTATAGTAGCAATATGGGGTGGCGCCACGTTTTTTGCTCCTTAAAAAGCGAGGAATTTATGCAAATATCGCGCAATTCCGGTTGTTAATTGATTAGTAAATCTAAATTTATGCAAATTTTTGGATTTTTTTGGCACGGTATTCTACTATCCGGATTCACTTTTCGGGATTTTGGTCGTGTTTACGCTTCCGGGCACCTTTATAACGAATTTTCTGTTTGACATTGGCGTTGCGAATTCCACAAAAATCTCTGCTAGCTTGTCCCGGAGAGAGAGAGAGAGAGAGAGAGAGAGAGAGAGAGAGGGAGTGAGAGATAGCCAAATCGGAGATCCTAAGGAGTCGCTGCTAGCATGCCAAGCAATATCTCCAGCTGGTAAACTCGTTTTTACAAAAGTTCCCCAAAAATCATGCTAGCAGACTAGGATTTTTTAGCTTCACCATCCCCTTAAATTACTTTGAAATTACGTAGAAAACGTCGAAGTTTTGCTGCATTTTTGTGTCTTTCCGCCCCCTTCCTGCAGCGGTGAGCTATCAGAAATGTTTCATTCAATGTTTTGCATACCTGAGATATTCGCGGCGGGACCCGGGGGGTCGCTCTATTATCAGCCGATCACATCTGTCTACCACTGGCTGATGATGCCATTTTCCAGGAGATCGAGCCCGATCCATTTCGGCTTCTGAAAGCCGTCTGGTGAATCATTATGTAGTTCTAGCGAAATTTCAGCGAATTTAGTCTATTTTTGAGATCCTTTAGCTTCTGGGAAGGCTAGCAGAGGTTCCTTAGGAAAGGGCAGGCTAGCAGTGATCATTTAGGAAAGGGCAGGCTAGCAGAAAATTTCCTGGAATTCAAATTCGTTGAATGTCCACTTGCGTACCCTTTTTAACTGCCCTCCGGCCGCCAACAAATTCCCACAAATTCCGCTTCCATACTAATTACGGGGCAGTCGAGTCGCCCCGACCGGGGGAGAAGCCAAATTTGAGTAGTCGCCGGAATTAGTTCGTATTGGAGGAGCTGCGGCTTTTCATAGCCGAGCACTACACAGAATCAGGCGATGTTGTTATGAAATCAAAATTTTCCGAGAATCTCTGCTAGCCTGCCCTTTCCCAAAGAATCGCTGCTAGCCTCCTGCCCAGCCGCTCACTATAAAAACACCTTATTCCGCCACGCTGTTTGTTGCTTGTATTCTCTTGTGTTTTGGCTGTGCCCGCGATGCGTAAGCGAAAATAATAGCAGTCTGAATCATTCGTTGTTTGCCCCCGGGAGTACGCGGCGAAACTTTTACGCTATTTTCTCGTTTTTAGCTTATTTTTAGCTCGTTTTAAGTCGGAAAATTCGGTAAATAGCCTTTTATAGCCAAACTTGATTTCCTAAATGATCGCTGCTAGCCTCTCAAAGTGTCGAAATTCCAGGATGTCGAAATCGACATGAAATCTACAGCAAAAGAAACCCCGAATAATGTGCAAAAACTAAAAATTATGAAATTTCGATAATATGAATTTGGACATCAATTCCGAAATGATCACTGCTAAATGCCCTCTGATTCCAAAATGATCTCTGCTAGCCTCACCCCAACTCCCAAAGGATCCCTGCTAGCTTGCCCTTTCCGGAAACTTCAATATACTTGTTTCACCTAGCTTTCTCAACCCCCAAAAAAGCCACTTGACATTCCCGATAAATGCGCATCTAGCCGCCCCGGTCTTCCAATCTGCATAATCCGCTTCTTTAGCGACCGAGATTACTCTTTCTCTCTTTGTCTTTCTCTCTCTCTCTCTTCTCTCTCTCTCTCTCTCTCTCTCTCTCTCTCTCTCTCACCTCTCTCTCTCACTCTCTCTCGCTCACCTTTTTTTGCCACTTTTTAATACGAATGAACCCCTCTATTCATCCGGAGATCTGCCCGTCCTCCCTCCCTCCCTCCACCCCAGACTACGTGAATAGATTTACGCTTGGCCTGCGAATTATCACCTCCATAAGAATTGACGTGATCCTTGCTATTAATGTGTTAATGACGAATTTTGTACCTTTTAAACTATTTTTATTATTTTAAACAGTTTTTCCTGTTAAACCTCGATTTTTCGTTTTTTTTTTAGTTAGTTACAAAATTGTTATAGTTTTACAGGTAGCCAAAACATCGTTTTAATGGTATTTTTGTAGTTTGTAACTTCCTTTCTGGCACGCCACGTCTATTTGTTTGTAATTTGGGCTTTAGAAGACGAATTCTTTAGAGGAGAACCTTGATCGCTTATTTTCCATCTTTTTATACTTTTAATTTCTTTTCTACTGCCGGTGTTTGGGCTAGATAACCTTATTTTTCGCATTTCTAATCGTTAGGACTGTTGTTAGCCGTCTTTTATTCGTTTTTAAGTAATTGTATAAACTTTTTTCTCTTAAAGCGCTCTTTTTCATGTTCTTGACCTGAGCTTTTCCGTTTGTTAGCTTTAGAATTTTTTTCTGATCTTCGAATCCCACTTCTTGCTTTTTTCTAAACTTTTCCTTGTTGGCATTCCACGTCATCCGCCCTCCAGAATCCGCATATATTTATCAACTCTTGTTCTTCAGAACGTCCCCCTTCCTCGCCACGATCGGATGCGTCGGCGGCGGGAATGAGATGCGAGCGACGCCCGTCTTATGGAGCACCGCGAGAGGTTCGTTTTTTGTTTGATTAGTTGGTTTAGAGGCGAACACGAGGCGGCATGTACTTAATAGAATGGAAAACGACGCTGAATGTTTTTTTTTTCAGAAGAAAACACTTAAAAAAGCAACTTATCGCTGATAAACGCAAAAATTATGTATTTTTCGTCGTTTGAAACGTGCAAATAGGCTTGGAAATAGAATTTTTAGAAGTAGAATACCTATCAGACGTAGAAAACAGAACGCTGGACGTTTTTGTATAGAAAAAACGATTCAGAAATGGTTTTATTGCTGAGAAACGCAAAGTCTTGACATTTTTTAGCTCGTTTAAAGCGATAAAACCGCCTAGAAAAGTGTATAGGTACCCTAAAAAACATCGGGAGCAAGTTTTACGCCGAAATTCGCCAGGAAAAGTGGCCGCAGACTTTATTTTGAGTTCTTAAGAGTGAAAAATTGGCGTTTGGGTCAAAAATTGGGCCCGGAAACCGCTGGTTTCGATGAATTTAGCGAGAAAAGTAATGTTTTTTAGATTACAGTTTATAAAGTAGATTAAAATATGTTTATGGATTTTTTCAATGTCATCTTATTACTTCTTCCAGTGCTCGCCGTTCTCTCCCTGGCCACGACACTCTCAACGGCCACCACGACAATCGGCGCCGACTACGAAGACTACGATGCGACTGCCGAATATTTGGGGGTGGGCTTTCTTTGATTTTTGACGATTTAAAGCATATACAAACATTTTTTGATTTACGATAGAAATCGACGAAATAGCGTGATTTACAATTTTTTAGCCGATTTTTCAATGCTAAAAATGGTGGAAATAAGGCCATTTTCGTTTGAAGCTAATCAACAGCCTTTTCAGCGCTTCCGGCGCCACTACAGCCCGACGCGCACGATCTACCCGGAAGCGGAGCCGACGGAAAGCGACCGTCAGCCCCCCGCGGCGCCACTAGTCAACGCGCCCAGCCTCCACCGCCGCGACACCGGCGAGTCCAGCGTCCTCCGCAGCGACGATGAGCCCCAACCAAGTGAGTTTTGAAGCTGACAATACAGTTGCGTCCAGAGTCTTTCAGTTCGATTTTTATGTTTTTTTTTAACGTCGAAAACGATCACTTTGATAAACGTGCTCTAAGGGCATTGAGAAAGCAAGAAATGACTTTTAAAACCTAAGGAACCAACAACTGGGCCCAGAAAACTTACAAAAAATAAGTTTTCCGGATTTCAATTGTAATTCAGACGTCTCGAGGCCAATCCCTGTCAAATATTTTGCTAGTGAATCTTCTCATGCTGCTGATTTATCTTCTTTTTAAACCTAACTTCCAGGAACGGGCCCCTTCCTCGTCGACGCCACCCACCCGATCTACATGGTCGTGCCGCTGCCCGAAACCGACGACCCGAGCATGGGCCGCAACCCGTTTCGACTGTCGATCCCGCGCGTTGAGCCGAGTAGGCGTTTTGATACCTTAAAGATACTGAAAAGATAAGTCAAAAAATGAGGTTTTCATTTTCGTATATGAAAAGCTTTTTAGTTGTGAAAATCTCGCTAAAAAAGCTAATTTTGATGCCAAAATTACGAAAATAGCGCTAAATTGTGATTAATGACATAAATTTGGCCTCAAAACTCGTTATAAATCGTTATTTTTAAGTGCCTAAGAAGTGAAATAATTTGATAAAAGTTTTGCAAGCTTATTTTCGGTTTTTAAGTTTTAAAAGTCAGAAAATCTCCTTTTTCTTCAATCACTACCGTTTTAGTTATCGACCTCGGCATCGAAGAGGTCGGGCGGCGCGGCTGGCTCCCCAACAACTCGATCGTCGTCCTCTACAGGGTTTGTGCAGCTTCGTTTTTTTTTGCATAGAATTTCATTCAGAACTCGCAAATGTCGGACGCGCACGGGCCGAACGTCGTCATCGACATGCTCGTGCAGAACAAACTCGACATCATCGTTGGATACGCATACGTGTAAGTGCTATTTACGCTAGGGTTGAACGTTCAATAAAAATTAAATTAAATTAATAATAAATAACTATATAGCAGTTTATAAAATTGCAACGTTAGAAATATTGCATTTTACGTTAGAAAAAAATCGTTTTTAGTAAGCTTTTTTAATTTTTTGATAAAATTTTTGGAAATCCATCTTATAATGATTATTTTACTTGATACGTAACCTGAAAATTTTCATAAGAAATGGTTTAAAATTAGGATTAGTGCTTTTGATATTTTTTTGATCAGATAAAACAGAAATAAGTCTAAAATTCTCAGTTATCCTGATTTTTTTAGGTACGCCCTGGCGCCGGTGGCCCGGATGTGTCCATTCTGGCGGGACAAGGACTCGCAGGGAATCCCGGTCATCACCCCCATTGGCCTTACCGGAAATCTGGACGACAAGCGGGAGTACACGATGATGACCAGGATCAACTCGCCCTACAAGGTACAACTAGCAGCTGTTCTTCTGGATTAGACGCGTCATGGAGCAGGACGGCAGAAATAAGGAAAGAAAGGGCAGGCTAGCAGAGTTTTTTAGGACAGGGCAGGCTAGCAGAGATTCTTTAGCACAGGGCAGGCTAGCAGAGATTCTTAAGGAAAGGGCAGGCTAGCAGAGATCCTTTAGGAAAGGGCAGGCTAGCAGAGATTCTTTAGGAAATGGCAGGCTAGCAGAGATTCTTTAGGAAAGGGCAGGCTAGCAGAGAATCTTTAGGAAATGGCAGGCTAGCAGAGATTCTTTAGGAAAGGGCAGGCTAGCAGAGATTCTTTATGAAAAGGAAATACGCTTATTGATGCGTTTACAAGATATTTTATTTATTTTCCATTTTCAGTTTCTTCGCGAGTCGATCAAAGCGCTGTGGAGGGAGTACGAGTGGGAGCGGGCCGTCTTCCTATTCCACGACCCGCGCTACCGTAACAAGGATCAGTCCCAGCCGGTACGTTCTCCGAAAATTAGCGTTTGAAAGGGACTGGGAGGGCAGAATTCAGGCTACGATATTCGCTAAACTGCTTGAAAATGTCGAGAATCACATGGAGAATGATGACAGGCTAGCAAAGATCATTTGGGAATTGAGGGCAGGCTAGCAGAAATCGTTTGCGATTTTTTAACGTTTTTAACTTTTAACGCTTTTCCGAATTTCTGGAAATTGTAAGGGATTTATATAGAATTATTTTTAGTTTTATTGTTTATTCTGCATAATAAAATTTAACGGGGCTAGCAGGGTTAATTTGGGAATTTAGGAATCGAACGGGGTAAACTGGAAAAAATATTTTGGGATTTGGCAGCGATATTTGCAGTTTTTTCGTCGCTTCCAAAGTCTATAATCATTTTTTTTGTGGAAGTAGCACCTGTATTTATTTATTGTATTTATTTAATTTATTTTTTATCAGAATTTCTACGGTATAAAATTTCCCTTTTGCAGAGCGGCGAGTGCTACCTGGCGCTGGCGACGATCAAGTACTTCTTCAAGGAGCGCAACCAGTCCGACTACGAGCAGCACGACTTCTTCATCTTCAACGAGATGTACCTGAACGACAGCCGGGCCATGTTCCGCGACTACCTCCAGAAGGGCAGCTTCCTCACCAACGGTGCGTGGCTAGGGGCGGATTTTTTTGTTTTTATGGGGTTTTATGGGTTTTTGCGAGTTTTTGAAGTGTATTATCGGGGTAATTTTTTCGATTTTGGGGTTATTTTCGTTTATATCGGCTTTTATGGGTATTTGCAATTTTTAAAATGTCTTATGGGGTCCAGGTTTTTACAAAATGTAATTCTATATCTTCTGTCCTAGATTTCTATTTTTCTCATGCTCATTGGTGTGCTCGTGCTCGTGCTCTAAGTGGGTTATCGCGGCCGATTGTTCGATTTTTTGGGGGTTATTTTTATTTATATTAGGGTTTTATGGGTATCTACGATTTTTAAAATACCTATGGGGCCCAGATTGATTACAAAATGCATTATACTTTCCTAAATTTATATTTTTGTCGTGCTCATTGATTTCGTGCTCCTCTCGTTTTATCTTCCGCTCCTCCCTGGGGGTTTAAGACTTGCTTTTTTTCAGTTTTCACTGAAAAGGGCTTTTTGGGAATTTTTGTAGACTAAAACTTTACATTAAAAACACCCGGTTCTTAAATTAAAAATTGTTGGTTTTTTGGAAGTTTTTGAGAGTTTTTAGGCATCTTTCAAGCCTACATTCCTATTTTCCTGAGTTTTTGCAACGGCTTTTTCAAGGATTTTAGGTTATCTGACTTTTCTGCATGTTGCCGTTTTTCGGGGCTATTTCACACTTTTTGAGGGGGTGTTTTCAAGTTCAACTGCAACTATCAACTTCTCACTTTTTCACTTTTTTTGGCCAACCCTGATATCCCTGCGAATCGCAACTTATTTATGGCTATCCCGCCGCCCCACCCTCATGACTTTTGCCACGCGTTTCGCACGCATTTTTCTCTTTTGAGGGGGGGGGGGGGGGGGGATATAGCGCGTTTCTCCCTCATTTTCCGGGAAGATCCAAATAACGGTTTGCCGACGGTGGGGCAAAGTGACGAATCGCTTGCTAAAGTCGAAATTGTCGATTTATACGGGGTTACTGTAACATCGTTAGAATTACTGAATTTTCAAGCATTTCGGGGTACATTTCAAGCGTCAAATGATCATCTACCATCGAGTAAGATCCGGGGATACCGTAATAACTTGAAAATTAGTCCAGTTTCAAGCTTTCCGGGCTTCATTTTCGTGCAGCGACGAGTTCGTCAAGTTCAGACGCACTTCCTGCGCTTTGTAGCGTCAACAAACTTGCCATGCCTCCATCTACTACCGTTGACTAGAATTTTAGAATTTGCGATATCGTAATAACGTGAAAATTACTCAATTTACCGGCGCCAAGTTCGTCAAGTTCAGGCGCAATTCTTCATGACCACTACTTTTGCAAAGACAGTCATATCCGTTGATCATCTACCGTCTAATAGAACCGTGAGAGCTACATTTCAATTGACGTGTTCGTCAAGTTCAACTTTTTGTCAAGGCGATTTTCAGCTCCAGAAAAACTGTAGAAGCGCATCGTCTTCGACAAGTTCAGACAACTTTCATAGGGGTTATTTTGCGCGTACTTACTATCGTATAAATGTTAGGCTTATGTTTTATCTAATGATTTTTTATTCTAGTTTAACTCCAAAACAACAAAATCCCCCGAATTCCCGCAATTTCCCTTCCCCATCCGGAAAATCCGAGAAGCTCCAAAAATTTTTTGCACCCAAGAGAGGCCTCGGGGCGGGGGCTTTTCCTGGTGCTTCTTCTGCTCCAGCAGCAGCAAGGAGAAGAAGAAGAAGAAGGAGGAGGAGGTATCCGCTTTCAGCCCGCCTGCCCCCCCACCGCGCGCGGAGGCTGTCCACGTTGAATTAAAAATGAGAGCCACCACCACGACCGAGCGTTTTTTTAGGAGAGTTGGGGGGGAGGGGAGCCTATTTTTTGCCCTTGTCCGCGCCGCGCGAATGTTTACGGGCTCGGCAACCCGAGACAATGGCCGGTCGACGGCTTCTTGGGGTCGTTGCCGGGATTGCACTCACTTTTTGTCGGCTCCGGGCTGCTTGTTGAATTATTTGGAGGCGTATGAAAAAAATCGGTATGAGATTTGGTGTTGTTTGCAGAAATTGTGAGGTGACTGCAAAATTCCTCAAAAAATCACTGCTAGTTTGCCCAAATTTCGTTGCTCATGGGCGCTTGCGTGAGGGTTTCCTCAAGAAATCGCTGCTAGCTCGCTCGGGTTTCCGACAGAATTCCGCAAAGAATCTCTGCTAGATTCCCCTGGTTTTCTGAATTCCGCGAAGGATCTCTGCTAGCTTGCACGAGTTCTCCTCCAGAATTCCACAAAGAATCACTGCTGGCTTGCCCGACTATCCTGTAAAATTTCGCGAAAAAATCAGTGTTCGCTTGCGCGAATTTCCTGCCGAATTCCGCACGGCATCTCTGCTACGTGGCCCTGGTTCGACCTTTCTTTTTAATTTTTTTTTGCCAAAATCTGACTTCTATTCCCCTTTAAAAGCGGCAAACACGCAACGTCTTGCCCACGTGTGAGGCCTTCAATGAACGCCTTCATCCGGAATTCCTCACGTCGCTTTTGCTGGCCCCGGGGCTAAACCCTCTTTTTCGCGTCCATAGGTCGTTTTCGTAGCCGAGGAAAGTGCAAGGATTTTTGGAAGTTTTTTAGCGGACTTGCAGAGATTATTTTGGGATTCAAATGGCATGTTAGCAGAGATTCTTTAGGAAATGGCGCTAGCAGAAATGCTTTAGGAAAGGGCAGGCTAGCAGAGATCCTCTAGGAAACGGCAGGCTAGCAGAGATTCTTTAGCAAGGGCATGCTAGCAGACATTCTCGAGGAAAAGGCAGGCTCGCAGAGACCATTTCGGACCCCGATTTTTTTTTGATGAATCATAAATTACCCCGGAAGTATCGCTGTAGTCTATGCATGTTATCCCATGTTCCCCTGAATAGCTATGGGGGGACGGCTAGCAATTAGGGTATTTATGGGGTCGATTTTTTTGCGGGGGGCCCTTTTCGGGTCCTACCCACTAGGTGGGCTTAGGGCCCAGGGGCCCAGCAACGTGCTTTTCCCTCCCCCTGCCCAGTCCGTCAAATGCTGGTGCGTAAAATTCGACGACTCCCTGCCCCCCAAAAAACAATTTCCGCCCCCCGCCCGCTACGCTCAAATGATGGAAATAATAATTTTGTTGATGCGTGCCTGGAGTTGTAAATTGAGGGGCTAGGGGGGAAAAGTGTTATTTTTGGCTAGGCGGGCTAGCAGATATCATTTGGGAATTCGGGGCAATAGCAGAGATTCTATTGGAATTTAGGGGCAGGCTAGCAGAGGTCTTTGGGAGATGCGGGCACGCTAGTAGCAGAGATTCTCATGGAATTTGGGGGCAAGCTAGCAGGGATCATTTGGGAATTTAGGACAGACTGGGAAAGATCATGCCTGAATGTGGGGCCAGCTAGCATAGATTCTGATGGAATTTTGGGGCATTTTAGCGTCGATTTTGGGAAATTTGAAAATAGGATGGCAGGCAAGCAGAGGTCTTTTAGGATTTTGTCCCAGGCTAACAGAGGTATTTTCGCAAGTTGAGGTAGGCTAGGAGTCATCATTTGCTCTACACATCACATACCCTCCCTCATAGATAGCATACGTCGGCATCCATGAAAAGCTGCAGCCACTCCAATTTTTATGACGAATCTGCGCGCGTCGCTCTCGTGGGAACGCGCTTTTGTATTCGATTCAGCCGGCTGACCGGCTGATTTGCATAAAAGAGGCCTAGAAAAATCGATAGATGATTCGTTTGGGCGTATTTTGGTGACGGTTTTCGACTAGGGCGGCGAGCACGCTCCCTTTAACAGGGCGGACAAGGCAATCCTATAGATTTTCTGGCTTTTTCCGGATTCCTACAAATTTTCCGCATCGCAACACGCAACGCTACCGAAAATCATTTTGCTAAAATTAATTTTCTCGAAATTTCATTTTGTCGAAATTTTAATGCCTATTCTGTCTCGGATATTCTTCTCAAACATTTCGTAAATTGAAATTTCAGTGCATTGAAATGTCGACAAAACGATTTTCGGCAAAAGTAATTTCGACAAAATGACAGCAAGTCCTAAAATCCATAGCACTTGCCTGGCGCGTCCCTTTAAAGGACAATGCCACTCCGTTTGCATCCTTTTTCCAGACTTTCCGGCTCGCCCTCGTCCCCCCTATCAACACACTTTCGTTCGCGACCTGAAACCGATGCCTGGCCAGGGCTGGGAAAATGGCCTCTAAACTTTTTTACCCATGACTTGTTCCCGCTGCTGCTGATAACAACACACACCCACTGCTGCCCCCCACCAAATTGCCGACTTGATGGCAATTTTCGCGCTTTTTCCGGAGCGCGATTTGCAGCCCGACTTCGCGGAGTAGGAGCCATTGTATTGGGGCATCGTGGTAGCTGATTGTCATTTGGAATTTTATGGAATTTTGTGGAAGTGGAGTGAAACCGTAGAACTGTCCGCGGGACTGGATGTTTATTTTTAAATTTATAAACTCGGGAAACCGCCTGCAAAAGCAGATTGTTGATCGCCGATTTATCAGCTGATTCGAGCAAGAAAATTGAGAATTTTAAAGGGACTAGAAAGGCAGGTTTTCGGTTTCGTTTCTTCTGAGTTTCATGTGGGTTTTTGAGTAGCGAATAATTATATCGGCATTTTAAAGGGGCTGGCAAGGCAGAAGTTCGGGAGGTTTTTTCGGGTTTTTTTTGACGTTTTAATAGCTAATAGTTTTATAACATTTTTAAAGGGACTGGGAAGGCAGAATTTTGTGGTTTTTTGAAATGTTCTGACGTTTTTTAGGTGGGGCATAATTATATGCAAATACAAAGTTAGATTATTTCGAGGCTTACTGTAATTAATTGATGCTGCTGCGCGTTTATTTGGCGCTTGCCGCTTACGATGGTCATGGTATTCCGGATAATTACATTATTATAGTTTTGCATTTAGCGATCAGGTACCAAACAGTTCAGGTTACGGTACAATTAACTTCATTTTTAACGCGTCTATTTTTTCGTATTTTCCGGTTTACGGTATTTAATTTTTCCACTGCAATTTTAATTGGCGCTTTTCGGTGAATTCAGGTACGTTTTTTGGTCCTTTCAGCCTTTTTTGGCGTTTGAATTTATCATTTTTCGATGCTACGGTAACTAATTTTGACGTATAAATATTCTAACGGTCATTTTGATGAGTTTTCTGGGGATTACGGTATCGTAGTGAGATCTTAGAAATTGGCGTCTACTTCCAAAAAAGTCACCAAACTCGGGTTGGTCAGGTTGGCGGCCCGCCGTGTTGCCAGCCCCGATTTTCCCCCATAACATTTTATGGACGGTGGCCGATGGCGAGGCAAAAGAGCGGAAAGGGGTCGATTCTTTTTTGCAGAAAAATTGGGCACACCGTGTTGACAGACAGATATAGGAATGAACAGACAGACAGATCCAGGTCTGCTGCTGCGCTCGGTGATTAATGCTGAATGATGAGAGAGACAGAGGGAGAGAGAGAGAGAGAGAGAGAGAGAGAGAGAGAGTGAGAGCGAGCAAAAATACCCAGTTTATCCATACGCGGCACGGGCCTCGCCTCCGATTATCCCGAGTCGGCGCGAGTTGCAGGCTGTCACCGCCTGGACGCTATTGTTTTTGGTGGGGCAGGCTGGCAAAGAGAATTTGGGATTTTTTCCGGATTAGCCTTAAAGCCCAAGGCAAGCTAGCGGTGATTTTTTGGGAAAATCACTAATGATAGGATCGAATTGTTAGAAGCCTTTTTTGATCGGGCAAGCTGACAAAGAGTCTTTGGGAATATTTTTTAATTCGAGCGTGAATTCCTTAGGAATTCCCGTTTTCTTTTTTTATTTTAGGCCAAAACAACTGGGCAGGCTAGCAGAATTTTTTGAGGAGACTGACCGTTTTTTTGGAGGATAAAAATAACCCCCTCAATATCCATGAATCATTCGCCGAATTTTGAAATGTATTATTTCGGTCGTTTTTTTCCCGCCGCAAAAAGAATTCGGGAACGCTGGCTGGCGGCCGCCGTTTTGTTTACAAACGGTTCCCATTCGGGTGGGCTGCTGGAAAAAATTCGGAAAAATTCCCTCCCCCCATGTCTCTCTACCCCCGAAATTTTGCACCACCACAGCAGCCGCAGATTATCGTTGTCCTGCCACGATTTGGCAATAAATTTTTGTGCGGATGGCGAGGATTTTGGGGGGGGTATTTT